AAAAAAAAAGAAAGAAGAAACACGTCTGATTTTTCATTCTCCAATTTTAATCATTAAAAAACGGACAAATCCATCTTTTTCTCCCTATCGTTATTCTTGTTAACGATCCTTTAAGAAGATTTAAAAGAAAAAAAAAAAGAAATGTCGAGATTCATATTTTATTCACGATTGAAATACCACGATTTAAAATATCAAAGAGAGATTAAAAAATGCCTCCACGTATTTTGCATTATCATTATTCATCAGCTTGATATTTCAGATATTTTTCAATTTTCCATTCTTAATAAGAGAAGAATCTGTAATTGGAAAAGCTGATCGAAAGGCAAATGAAAGGAGGAGACAGATGGAAAGATAATGGTGAATATTCCCACAATTATGAGGGGAAAGGAATGACGGAAGGAAACTGTCTGGAGGCGTTGGATAAAACTGTTGCTCCGCACGAACACCACTCTACCCGACTTCCTTCGAGGCGAGGTTTTTACCTCCTCATATAAAATTCGAGGCCGGTATTGAGACATAAAAATGGCGAGATAAGCGTGTCAGCCGTTCACGCGACTCTGTTACACCCGTTAACCGAGGGAGGGCCGGTATTAATTAGAAAATCAAGGATTATACGCGCAGACTATGGGTCTTACACGCCTGCCAATTAACCCCTTCTCGTCACGGCGGGGGTTTCATGGTGTTCCGCGATCCACGATAGACGTGTGTTTAAACGGCGATAACGTTTCGGTTGTAAACGCTCGGATATTATGGGTCTGAAGGGAAGCTAAGGTCGTTTAAAGGAACGAACGTGTTGGTTGTTTTATTTAATTATTCCATTCCGCCTTTTTCCCCCCTTTTTTTCCTCTTTTTTCTTTCCCTTTCTTTCCTTTTTTCCCCTTTTCCTTTTTTCCCCTTTTTCTTTCTTTCTTTCTTTCTTTTTTTTTTTTTTTTTTTTTTTTTTTTTTTTTTTTTTTTTATTTCACGTTTACAAGCATGGACACGTGAAACGGTGGTGAATTAAGAAAATTTTACTGCAGGTTTCCGGGTGTAAAACGTGGTGTGTTATAACTAATTTCGTTCAGGTACTGACTTTTCACGTAAGTCATATCTATTACGTTTCACGTGTATATATATATATATATATATTTATTTCACGCGTATTTATCAAAAACTTCAAGAGGTTATGATTGAAATCTTGAATTTTATGAAAGAAAGAATCAACGTCGCCAGTCGAAAAATCAATCATCGGTATTTTCGTTCGGAAATAAAACTCTGAAAATTTTGAAACGAGTGAAATGACGAAAATTTATAGGGGTAAGCGCGTTTCTTTTTTTCTTTTTTTTCGAATCTCATCTCCATCCAAAAATCAATTTCAAACAATAATCTTGGGAGCGATAATAATTTTCTCCCTAGTCTCCTCTTCACGATAATCCGAAACATCCATCCTCATCTCTTTCCATAAACGAATCTGCAAATATTTTTTCGCTCGATTGTCTCATCGATCGTATCGTAAATCTTTTCTCAAATCCTCGCAAATATCATACGTCGAAAATAAATAAATATTTAAATGGAAATTTTCCATCGTTGCAATATATTCTCGTTGCGAAATTTTCCATTCGTAAATAATTAGTCGGAGTGA